GGTGTTCACTGTCCTGGGTATACCTACATCCGTCATGGTGTTTTCACTGTCCTGGGTATATCCACTTACGCCATGGTGTGTTCACTGTCCTGGGTATACCTATATCCGTCATGGTGTGTTCACTGTCCTGGGTAAATCCACTTACGTCATGGTGTGTTCACTGTCCTGGGTATATCCACTTACGTCATGGTGTGTTCACTGTCCTGAGTAAATCCACTTACGTCATGGTGTGTTCACTGTCCTGGGTATATCCACTTACGTCATGGTGTTTTCACTGTCCTGGGTAAATCCACTTACGTCATGGTATGTTCACTGTCCTGGGTATATCCACTTACGTCATGGTGTGTTCACTGTTATGGGTATACCTACATCTGTCATGGTGTGGTCACTATCCTGGGTATATCCACTTACGTCATGGTGTGTTCACTGTTCAGGTTACATCTACTTCTCCCAAAACAAGGCTTGATCTCCAATCGCCAGCAGTGGTTTATTCGTAGTGGTTTATTTTATTTACGCAATCTGATTGACTGACCGAGAGTGGAGAGCTATGTCATCGCGCTTTGATTGGCTGTCTTAAAATAATTGACGGCACAGTTTCGGATCGGGGATACCCGAGGTCGTCTAGTACAGGAAATCCCCAGCTGTCAAAACATCACCGTAGTGACGATGTTTCCATCTCCGAATGTTGGTGACCAAGAGAAAATTTGTTGGGGATGAAGGGATGTGATATGTGGAGATGTATCAGAGAATTTCGGCTGCCCAGTGTACGAGATCCAGTTGCAGAATGAGAAGACGGTAACCGAAGCGAGATACCGCTTCGATATTACGGGACCAGGTGAGCCACTCCGGTAGATTCTTTAGTGGCGTTTTCAGGACTAATAAAACAGCTAATGAAACAGTTAATTAATTCTTGTAAAAATACTGATAAAATAGTGAAACATACCATATTGTTTTGGGTATTTTAAAAAAATAAACATCAACCACATAAGAAATGTCACGTTATTTCGAAGTGTTGATCTAGAGCCGATCGATCGATTGTGTAACCCAGGGTCAAAAACATATTTCATAGTTATATTAAAATAATCGAGACTTATATTTCATATTTTAAGAAAATAAACACCTTAATTAATTTGTATCAAAAGACATACTCAATTTTAATGCATTAAACGATCAACCTTTGCCGGACCGAACATCTCACGACCAAGATGGTTTGCAACCACAGAAGCTGTTTCCCCTTTCAACAGTTGGAGTTTATTCAGATCAATATATATAATACATTTTTGCCTATAATTATTTGTTTGTTTTTTAAGAATTTGATTTTCAATTATTTAAACATACCATTTCAGGACAATAAAGAAACTAATTTTTTTTAAAAACCCAAAACATTACCACATTTAAACTTGAATGTATTAAGTTTAAGTACCCAGATCTATGTATTTATAATTTTTCTTAGCTATTTTGATTTCTTATGGGGAACAGACAAAATGATGAAGATTAAGATGGTGGGCACCAATAAACCTTATTACGTATTTTTTTCAAAAACAAATAAAAATGTTTCCATAATGAATTACATGTATGCATCTAAAAATATATGTGGTATTTTGGATAGGATGAAAACATCTCAAAAATAATTTCATATTATCAATTTAAGTAGAAACTCACTATCACAGTTTATTATTTTCAGAATTTACAGACAATACAGAGTACTAAAGAAATGTAGAATTATGTTTGTCTCATGTATTTTCTTTAAATCAAAGATTTTTTATTATTAACCATGATTACTGATTTTTTTTGAACTTTTTAAATAATGCAACTGTTATATTATCATAGCAGATAAAGAACCCAAATGTGCATAGCTAGCTTAATTTTAATGATAATTATTCAGCATTTCTTTGGTGATAAACTGAACAAATGAAAACATAAGAAATGTAATGTTTCTGTATTATTCTCCCATTACAAGGTTTACAGTGGTTTCTTTTTTTCACACAATCTTAATGGCTGCCTGAGAGTGGAAAGCTATGTCGCTATTTTAATCAGAGACCTTAAATTATTCTAATGTGTAATGTGTAAATTTTCAGAACATGGTAAGTAAAGAAAAAATCAAATTTATGGATGATGAAGAAACGACCAACAAGAGGTCATCTACCAACATTTACCATTAACCTCATTTCTCAACATAAGCAATGTCAAATTTTAATTTTAATACTTTTTACAAAATGTTCATATATGATCAGGTCACTAAAATATATATTTATTTTATGAGTCTTGTTTTCATGATGATAAAACATAGAACATGATAGAACATGTTAATTCATTATTACCTATGCTCAGTAATTCTTAATTTCTAATCTGATAATATTAAGAAAAAAATAAAGTTTGGATGTAACTGTAGCAGTAAAATATAAACGTAATATTACAAGGGTATGAAAATAATGCAAATATTTGTATAACTATTGAAAGGATAATTTATTGTTTACAATTATCCTATGTATTTATGTTTCACACACAATAAAGTATTGTGCTTGTCAAATTCACATTGTGTCATTCACAGATATGGGAAAATTAGATAACTCATTTTGTAACATTTTTGGTTTTATGATGTTAAATATTATGGTCAAAAGAAAAATTGTCCACTGAATTAGTAAATATTTTCTTTTTTTAAAATACAAACACATGTGCTCACCATGTTCAGGAACAACAAAGAAAATATGACATGAAATAATCATCATTTCACATATTAAATTATTCACTGTAAAGTTCATTTTAAAGACGACAATTCGTTTTAAATATTACAATTCATTGATGGAGTTGAGAAGATTTACCTAGCAGTCATAAGCTGATCAGTTGCCTGAGTTGGTATTTATAGAATCTTGCCTGATTAATCCTGCTGACAGCTCTTGCATTTATTCATGGTTGTTTGTATGAATTGGTAAAGTACCAAGAAAAAAAGCAAATATGATAACTAACTGGTTTATTCAAATATTCATACTAGTGCATGTAATAAATCACAAAGACGTGCACATTGCTTTACGTAATCAATGACCAATTGATTTGACTGTTTTTTTTATACAGAAACCAAATTAATAATTTGTTGTAGTGCGTGTGTATCTATTATTTTGGCAGGTATCCTTTCACGATGTCCATCCCTGGTAGATGACCAGGATAAAAAAAACACGTCTTGCTGTTACACATGTGACCATTCAGTGAACCTATTTCATGATAGTAACATGGTGTACGTACATGGACAGATAGAGATACATAGATAAACAGAATGGGCACGAAAGGACAGACAGACACACATAAGATGCTTGTGCAAAAGAATAAGAATACTGGGACACTGGGGTGCACATTGGTTCACGGGTCTATATTATTTGTGTACTACAGCATACCGAGAAAAGTATATATCTTAAGAATATCAAACTCGATATGGCTAAGTGTCACTTAAATATTATACTACACTACAAAATATTATTACAACAAATCTTGCTGTATTTAAATGCATTTTTCAGGTTATGTACTTTTTCTATGGGAAAATTAGATAACTCATTTTGTAACATTTTTGGTTTTATGATGTTAAATATTATGGTCAAAAGAAAAATTGTCCACTGAATTAGTAAATATTTTCTTTTTTTAAAATACAAACACATGTGCTCACCATGTTCAGGAACAACAAAGAAAATATGACATGAAATAATCATCATTTCACATATTAAATTATTCACTGTAAAGTTCATTTTAAAGACGACAATTCGTTTTAAATATTACAATTCATTGATGGAGTTGAGAAGATTTACCTAGCAGTCATAAGCTGATCAGTTGCCTGAGTTGGTATTTATAGAATCTTGCCTGATTAATCCTGCTGACAGCTCTTGCATTTATTCATGGTTGTTTGTATGAATTGGTAAAGTACCAAGAAGAAAAGCAAATATGATAACTAACTGGTTTATTCAAATATTCATACTAGTGCATGTAATAAATCACAAAGACGTGCACATTGCTTTACGTAATCAATGACCAATTGATTTGACTGTTTTTTTTATACAGAAACCAAATTAATAATTTGTTGTAGTGCGTGTGTATCTATTATTTTGGCAGGTATCCTTTCACGATGTCCATCCCTGGTAGATGACCAGGATAAAAAAACACGTCTTGCTGTTACACATGTGACCATTCAGTGAACCTATTTCATGATAGTAACATGGTGTACGTACATGGACAGATAGAGATACATAGATAAACAGAATGGGCACGAAAGGACAGACAGACACACATAAGATGCTTGTGCAAAAGAATAAGAATACTGGGACACTGGGGTGCACATTGGTTCACGGGTCTATATTATTTGTGTACTACAGCATACCGAGAAAAGTATATATCTTAAGAATATCAAACTCGATATGGCTAAGTGTCACTTAAATATTATACTACACTACAAAATATTATTACAACAAATCTTGCTGTATTTAAATGCATTTTTCAGGTTATGTACTTTTTCTCTTTATTACTGAGGTTACGTGTTTGATTTACAAGGTCAATACATTATATCTTTTTATCAAATACTTGTATTGTGGATGTACACCTCATTGGATATCTCTGTGTGTGTGTGCGTGTGTGTGTGTGTGTGTGTGTGTGTGTGTGTGTGTGTGTGTGTGTGTGTGTGTGTGTGTGTGTGTGTGTGTGTGCGCTTAGGAGAGGACAATGAATAATAGCTTGAGGTGTATGCCTATGAATATGTTGTACTATATGTGAATTCTAAGTCAGTGAGTTGGGTTTAACGCCGCTTTTAACAGTATTCCAGTCATATCACGGCATGTCAGCTTAATGTGGGAGGAAAGCCAGAAGTGATGCAAGTCTCAGACGTTTACCACTTCGGTGAAACCCACGAGCACGGGTATGATGCTGACAAACCTAGAGACATAATCGGAGCGAACCGGAATTCGAACCCACAATGAGAGGTTTCTGGCGTACCCAAAGGACGCAACTCTGCACAACAAATCGCGGCGCCTTAGACGAATCTCGTGCCCCCTGTTAATTCTGAAATGAACTCATACAATAAGGGTTATCTATGGGAGTAGGCTTGCATGACTTATTTTAGACTTGGTTCCAGGGCCAAGGATGGACAATATCACTGGGAGGAGGAACACAGCATGCAGCATGCCGAAAAGGATCACTGTAAACATGATCTTGAAGAAGGAGTTGAAGATGTAGGACTTTGAGAACACCAGCACAAGAACGCCCAGAAAGGATGACATTCCACCATTCAAAATTGGACCAGCTGCATGGACAATGGCAGATTCAGTTTTCGCTCTCCTGTCTTTTCCTTCTCCAATCATATAGGCAGAGCACACGTGCACACTGAAGTCCACCGAGAAGCCGACAGACATGATGAGATGGATCATTGTCACTGAGCTGAGACTCAGTCCCCAGATATAAAGGAACCCGAAGATGCCAACGAGGATAGAAACGACGTTCAGGACGACAAGGAAAACCAGAAGAGGATGAGGAAGGAAGATACAGGTGATCACAGTCATGACGACCAGTGCCACACCCACAGTTTGTAGTGTACTGGGTAGGATAGCAACATACTGCTCAAAGAAGATATAGGCTGGGTGGAAGGTGTAGACAGAGAGAGGTGAGTTGTCTGCCAGAGCTCGCATTCGAACCATAACATCAGCTTGAGCGTTGGATTCTTTAATATTTGTTGATAAAAGATAACATCGGGAAGCTTTGATATCAGTATCAGTTGAGTCAAATACAACATCGTTATCAAATAATGTGGTTGTTGTAAAAAATGTTTTCAATCCCGATACAAAAGCTGTGGTGCTGTTGTTATCATAAACAGTTGTTGCTCTGTAAGAATCGAACCAGCAAATGAGCGAATTCTCAACTACTCCAGAGTCTGTTTTTGCACTATTGACCAGAGACTCGATATTATCTACAGTATTCTTGTCTGTGTAATTGGTGGTTGGGCCAAATACAAACGGGACAGGGAAAGCACTTGAGAAGTATGCATCATATATCTCACTAAAGGAATGATAGTATGAATCTGTGGAGACCAGGTTCTTCAGAATCAAACCTTGTTTGAAGTTCAATGTTCCCCATATTGACACTTCGAGGTAGGCCAAGAATAGCACAATCAAAATTACCTTCCCTCCCACACTCCGTAACATTCGTGGCAGGTACGTTCGTGGCAGTGTCTCAAAGAATCGTTCATCCTGACCTCTCTCTGTTGGTGGTGAGCCTCTAAAGCAGAACACTCTACAGGTGGAGGCGCCATCTTGCCTGAGTTTGGCTCTGGATTTGGTTTTGAGGCAGGTCATGCAGTGTCTGTTACTGTTAACCCGACGGCCATGGATGGCAAGGCAGGGGGGGAAGAAGAGGCACTGGTACAGGTAGCAGAAGATGACGGCCACTCCTGTGAATGAGAAGAAAATATATGACGTGACCATCATGTTAGTTATTAGAGAGACACAAATGGACTACATGCACTGTAGGGGAGAAGATAATCTGTGCTTTTGGTGAGACAGTTAACCGGCTGTACTGTTGAACCCACGAACCTGTATAGAGACAGAAATTCCTCACACTGAGAAACACAGAAGACACTCCAGTTAAAAAGGCCTTGAGATCAGTGAGAGACGTGATGGTGATACCGATACCAGCTGTGGAAAAGGTCATTCCCATCCTACTGGCCACGGTCTTGTCTCGGTGAGGGTAGGTTTCCGCCCAACTGGACATCAGCAAGAACATGTCATCCACACCGATACCTTCATCAACAAGAGGATGTGAGTAATGTTTTGTTTCACAGCATTGGAGATTCAAAGTGCGAGAATAACACTAGTGTGGCAAGGATACTTAAATATAATATATCTGACCTTTACCTCTTGTCTGTATTCTGTATTATCAAACTATTTCAACGCACCTATGATCAGAAATGGTGTTACACCGACGATATTGACAAACTTTACACCACAAAGGCTGACAAGTCCGAACGATGACATGATGCCAAATCCAGCCGCCATAACGCCAGCCCATGATGCCCACGTCCTCGACGACACCACATCACCTCCGGCGACGACAGTGGCATACGTGATCATCAATGTGAACGTTATGGAGAAGAACACGATGTCTCCGTTTGTGTTTTTGTTCAACTCTGTGTCTAGCGAATGGGAGGTGGCATAGTTTATTCTTGTAGATGTTGTGCCTAAAGTTGCTACTTTCTTCAGGAACTCCTCTTCCCATGCTCTTGCTTTTGCCTTGTAAACCACTGAATCTGTTCGTAAATTAAACGAAATACTCAGGTACTTCGCAGACACCAGTTTTCCACCTGTCGAACCAACCTGTCCAAGAAATGCTGATATGTCTATGTTATTCCAGTTTGGGTAGGTGATTCCACCAGACAGATAAACATTATATACAGCATCTGTTGTGAGAAACTCTCCCGAAGCAAAACAACTCCCGTTTTGTCGAGCACAGACATCATCATACTTGAACACCACCCCCTCATATGTAACATTGATATAAGGGTAACGCTCTTTTTCAGGGCATTATCATTTACAGAAGCCTGAGGTTTTCCATTAACTGCCCGACGAAGGAGGGCAGTTGAAAAGACCGAGGGCTTCTGCAAATGATAATGCCCTGAAAAAGAGCGTTACCGTTATTATAGCTAAAATGGATGGAATTTGTTATCAAATAAAAAGAAACAAAATCGGTTTTGAAACATTTACTGCAATCAACACGAATGTCACTGACCACATTTTACAAATATGGAAACGTCATAGAACAAACCAGATGACGTCACTATAATACGTGACGTCATTTTCTCTACCCTATGACGTCACCGAACAACGGTAATGCCGTGTGCCAGGCAAGTAACAACAAGGACCATGACGCTGTCGACGATAAGCCAAAACATTACCAGTCAGAGCTCCCTGCAAAATTCTGTAGTATCATCCATGTAGGGAAAATAAAACATTTGACCAATTCAGCTAATTCCATAGAGGACGTTCAGGCAGATATTGTGGGTTTAATAAATAGCCTAAAGGATGACATCACACACTGATCACATGTTGCACTTGCAACAATTAGTTGGCAAGCCATATTGATACATGTCATAAAAATATATAACTTTAAACTACTTCATCTACAGCCACTAACAATCTGTTATCAATTCTACCAATTTAAAAAAAAATTACTATACTGGAATTATACCTGGTGAATATCTTAAATGTTCATTTGATATTATGTAATCCTATTTAACCAAATACCAAACCTAGGTTGCATCAGACTCATGGGTCACGGGGATAAGTAGACCTATATACAAAAAAAGAGGAATATTTCAAAGTTATATATTATAACTACCTTGGATTGCTGTTTTTAAATTCACTTGTGTATAATGGCAATGAATCATTATTCTCTATAAAGCAGTTGCAATGTAAACTGAAATATTTTAATATCTGAACTGTTTAAGATATTTGACACAAAAATATTCATCAGAAATAGAAGGTCACTCGAAAGCAGAATGTATAGAATGGTTTCATGTTAAATTCTGTAAATTTGTAACTTAAATTGGAACTCATGTAACTAATGTAGCAGTACTTGCTGAGTGTGTCAGATATGTTTTTTTTGTTTAAGTACTGGATAAAATTGTTGATAATGTCCACAAATAGCTATCCCAAGAAATGTCTTAAATGAAATTTAATCAACTCTGGATTTCGCAGGAGGTTGATGATGAGTGAAAGGGGTCCAAATGGACTAGACCCGTGAAGATTCCAGGGTAGAATAGGTCTTCAGCAATCCATGCTTGCCGTAAAAGGTGACTATGCTAGTTGTAAAAGGCGACTAACGGGATCGGGTGGTCAGGCTCGCTGACTTGGTTGATGCACGTCATCGATCCCAATTGCGTGGATCGATGCTCATGATATCAATCACTGGATTGTCTGGTCTAGACGAGATTATTTACAGACCGCCGTCATATAGCTGGAATATTGGTGAGTGCGGCGTTAAACAACAAACGTAATATTGTCGTAATAGACGACTAACGGACTAAGTGGTCAGGCTCGATGGCTTGGTTGATGTATGTCATCGATCCCAATTGCGTGGAACCTGAAAAGGTGTCAGTTGTTCACCTGAAACACCTTAAACTTAGTAACCTTGATCGAATAAGTTTTGAGCAAGGGTCGTGTGAAACCTTTTTAACCATGTGAAAAAAAAGCATGCCCGATTGCACCTTAACAATTTTGTAATGTAGACATTAAAAGCAGACGCTCTTCGAATATTGCATCGAGCCATGAAGATCCAAGGTAGAAAAGGTCTTCAGCAACCTATTCATGCCGTAAAAGGCGGCTATGCGAGATAAATATCTTATTTTTTTTATCTCTTTACAGTCCTCTGTAACAGTATCTTCACATACATATACATCACATATTTCATGTTTGGACTACCTCACGGCCCTTCCACATTGTATTTCGACGGCGGAGTATCTCCCATACAAAAATCACAGCACACATTTCCAAAGGGCAGGTGGGTTGGATGTGCATAAATCCAGGTTCTAACTCATCTCCCTAATGGGACAAGAAACAGGCTGCAAAGAAGAATGTTTGTTATTTTTCACTACCAGCCAATGTCTAGAAAACAATTTATCTGGATTCTGTGTCCAATACATGGAATGCTGGGAGGGTCTCACTCTTGCCTTGTTCAATCAATGTTTAGTTTGGCTCTTCGACCAGAGCTTATGTTCGACTTACTAATGATCTGGGTTTTTTTATTTGATTGAATCCTCCCGAGATTCGAAATCACTGATCACCTGTTCTTTCCTTGAAAGGAATGTTTTATGTCATATGTCCATGGCTCGGGACTTGTTTGAAGGTTTTAGTGTCATTCCGATTCTGTCATGAACAAATACATTATTTCAGTATAAACTTAGATTTCATGGACAATTGCTTTTCTAAATCTCAGGCTTAAATTGTGTCATTCTCAATCAATGTTATATTATGTAGTCATCTCTCTATAACAGACCTGACAGGTAAGTGTCGATTATGATGAAAACAATACACAAACAGAAAGTTTTTTTGCATTGTCATGAAAAAACGGTAGCAGCTCCTTCCCAAACCTTTTCCCGGATGCCACAAAACTTTCCAACCCAGAAGCAAGTATCTTGACCTTCAACTCAAGTGATAGATAACCTTACTATATATCAATATTCACCTAGATGCCTAATGTTGTCTAATGAGTTAAAAATATATAACTTTGTCCTTTCCACTTAGTGACCTTCGTCATATGTGGAGGTCGCAAAATTTTATGCGATTGCAACACAAGCCTAAAGATCTTGTTGTTCATAGTATGAACAGACAGAGAGAAAGAACTTGATGAGACCAGATGGTGGCCTAGCTCCAATCATATTGTCCCCAGCAACAGCAACACGACATCCAACAAGGAGCAGTACATCAAGATTTGGCAGAAATACGTCGATGTAGATTCCTACTGCGCTTGCCTTCACAACAAGGACTTCCCAGAAGAGTGAATCCATCTGAAGCATACGCAGTCAAACACACACACATACACGCACACACGCACGCACGCACGCACGCACGCACGCACGCACACACACGGACAACCGGCTTCATAATTTTACTCTCATATACATCAGTCATTTCCAGTCTACCGTCACTCAGTTAAATACATCACCTGCACACCTACACATATATAATAGATACAAAACACAAATGCCTGCATCTACGTAAACAACAATTTATACTTACATACCAATATAATAAAAAAATTGACAACAATTACATATCACGTCAGCAGATCATAGAAAAACATTCTTCTCTTTTTACACGAGAATGCTCGATTCTTCGAAGATTTCTCACGAGCGTAAACAACCCTTGTTTGAAAGTTGTTTGATTCAGTTTACAACATTCAAGGCCTCAGTAGAGCTTTCAAAAGTTTATAGAAGACATGTGAAGGACATTTCGGAATTTGACAGATAAGTTATTTTCAGGCTGCCAGGGTGAGTCTACAATGTAACTGACAGGGTAAACTTGAAATTCCAAAAATCACTGTTATTTTTCCACTAACAAAGTTATTCTGATAACACTGGTGCAATGTACTAGGCTGCGGCAGGCAAACTCTTACCGTATTTAACCCATACAAAATTAATTTACAAACAATTATAATGACAATGTTGAGTTTAAGTAACTAAAAATCTCACTTAAAAATAGTCCATTCTAATCACTATATTTCGTAAAATTTACTTTCATTCATTGTTGTAGCCAAATAATACAGAACTGAGTGTCTGATAAAGCGAAATGTGCGTTTGAAGTTTATTTTATTTAAACTTTATTTTATACTATAAAAGCAGAAATGGATTCAACATTGTATATTAACTGCAGTGAAAACTGTAGGGAGAACTGACGTTTCAAGTTTTACATTTGTAATGAAATAATCTAATTTTCCGGTAGACACCTGCACAAAAAGTATATAATAAGTAGGATATTTCAAATGTCTCGTGGAATATCATGTTTCTCTCATCCCGTGACACGAGAACAGGAGATATTTCTTTATATTTATTACAAGCGTCATCCCTCCTTTGTTCCATCCCGAAAGTAAACCATTCGCGCACCGTCACTCTTCAAGTACACACGGGTTTTGCTGTATCTGATCGCTTCACCCTTCAACAATGTCGAGGTGTGCGGGGTTCTTGTGGGCTACCCTGCTAGTAACAAATTAACTTGCTTCCAAATTAATACTAGCACTTAAGACTACCTGCTTTTCAGCGGGAACCTTTCCTGGGTTACCTGTGTCTCTCTGGGAACCTTGTCTTTCCCGACTTTTCAGCCATGGAATCGTAAAATAGCTTACGTTGGGCAACCAATTGCCACCTATTAGCCTGGCGGCGCGAGTCGTCTTGTCAGCGACAGCTGACATTTGGGCTGGCGGCGGTAGACGTTGTTACGTGCTGTGTATGCTGTACACATGTCTGGATAGCCATAGCCAACTCAGGTTAAAGCATCAACGTTTAATAGAACTTGCATGGCTGACATACACCAAGGGAAGCAACTCTTGTCACAAGAGTGCATACCACGTAACATCTCCCTTCCTTTGAGGAAAACAAATAAAGTAATTAAACCTTTAACTACAGGTACATTAATCCAAGAAATGAGTGACATTACCGGTCATATACTGGGATACAGTATGCAGTTCACTATAACATTCCGTTAAAGCACTTTCCCATAATTCCTGAATTAAAGTTCGCTGTCAACTTGCAATGACAAAATTATTAGTTTTAACTAAACAACATCAGAAACACATTATTATTCCAGTCTTTGGAAAACTGTTAAAGAACACATCCAAGAATTACAAATCAAGCCGTTTAACTGGCTTAACTACTCTCCCAGACTTTGTCTTGAACATGTCAGATTTTGGAGATGAGGTATTCTTTGGAACATCTCTTGTTGGAATGACAGAATCAGTCTGAGTATTAGAGAGGTTAGCACTAGACTGAACACATTGCTTTTCCTGGATAAGTTCATCATCTCTAGATCTTCTTGACGACTGGCAGTTTGGGAATGTTGGAATCTCAAGATTAACATCATCCTCAACTCTAGACTTTCTGGCAAGACGAAGTTGTTGTCTATTCCGTTTGAAACAGTGACCATTATCAGATCTCACAGCGTAGGTTCTTGGCTTGATCTCATCTGTCACAGTAGCTTCATTCCATTCCTTCCTGCCGGTTTGAATGGGTTGCATTCTGACAGTATCACCAACCTGTAAGGGTTTAAGAGGTCTTCCTGAGTACTTCCGGTTATGTCTCTCAACTACAAGCATCCTTTTGTCTTCAAGTTGTTGCTTGTCATCCGGACCAGAATCATGTTGAATAGTCTTTAACGTACAAGGAACCTGAGTAAGCGTTCGGCAACCAAATAGTCTTTGGGCTGGACTTGTTTGTACGCCTTCAGTCGGTGTATTTCTCACATTCAACAATCCCAGTAAGGATCCTCTTTAGCAGCTAGACATTTCTTCATCATCCTTTTAGCTACTTTAACGGCAGCTTCGGCAGCACCATTAGCTTTACTGTTACCAGGGCTGGAAGTTTCATGAGAGAAACCCCAAGACTGACTGAACTCCTTGAACTTCTCACTGGTATACTGAGGTCCTCCGTCACTGATGACGACTTTAGGTAAGCCATGACGAGCAAAGTGGTGCTTCAACTTGGTAACCACAACATCAGAAGTGGTTTCAGGCAGAAAGTCAATTTAAAGAAATTGCTGTAGTAGTCAGTAGTCACAAGGTAATTCCTACCTTAAATGGTGAAAATATCAGTTCCCACCTTTTCCCAGGGATGATCAGGAATCTCATGCATAATCAGAGGTTCTGGTGATTGCTTATCACTGAAACGAGCACAAATATCACATGACTCGATATACTTTCTTATGTCACTTGACATCAAGGACCAGAACACAAGTGTCTTTGCACGGCGTAGACAAGAGTTTATCCCCATGTCACCAACATGAAGTTTTCTCTTGATCTCATCTCTCAATGCAAGTGGGATGACAACTCTAGGTCCACGAAGAATTATCCCATCTTGAATGTGTTGGCCATCCTTCCATTATAGTTGATTTCAACTTGGTGAGGGTTTCATCAGATGCAGTTGCAACTCTAATGTCATTCATGAGCTTGTCCTTGATCGGCAGATGATAAACATTATTCACATACACAGTTTCAGAGGAAGGTTTGTCAGGCAATGGCGCTCTGGAAAGTGTATCAGCAATAGGAATAGCTGTTCCAGGTAGATACTGAAGATCGAACACATATCGCTGGGTCCTCAGTAGCAATGACTGCAGTCTATTGGGAGCTCTAGACAAGGGCTTCTTGACGATAGACACTAGTGGCTTGTGATCAGTTATCACAGTTACACTTCTACCATATGTGTAATGGTGGAATTTCTCAAGACCAAAGGTCACGGCGAGCATTTCCTTTTCTATCTGAGCAAATCTTTGCTCAGTGTCAGTTAGCGAGCGACTGGCATAAGTGGCAGAGGAGCTAGCACATCGGTTAAGTTTGGCAAGAACTTGGACAAGTAGTTCACAAGACCAAGGTAACGTCGAAGTTCTTCAAGATTTGTTGGTGGAACCATGTTTTGAATTGCTCGGACCTTCTCGGGGTCAGACTTCAAACCATCTTTGGTTATCAAATGTCCCATGAAGATGATTTCACTCAATCGCAGTTCAAGTTTTGATGGGTTCAGCTTGATATGGCTCTCGCGACAACTTGCTTGAAATGCTTCAAGATGAGCATCATGTTCTTCTAGGTTCCGACCATGAATCAGCACATCGTCAGCAATACAGACGACACCTGGTAGACCATCAAGGGCTTGAATCAACTTCTTTTGGAAGATTTCTGACGACACAGAAAGTCCAAATGTCAACCTGAGAAATCGATAACGACCAAAACAAGTTTGAAAGGTCGTAAAAAGACTTGACTCCTCATCGAGTTGGACATGCCAGTATCCAGATGACAAGTCAGCTTTTGAGAAAACTCTAGACTTCCCTAGCTCATGTAGGGTATCTTCAAGCACAGGCAGAGTGTAATGCTCTCTACAAAGGGCTTTGTTTAGTTCTTGCGGATCCAAACAAATTTGGTGTTCACCTGATTTCTTTTGCGTAATTGCGATTTGGTTTACCCAGGGGGTTGGCTCACTGACAGGCGCAATCACACCTAACTTCTCCAGTCTGTCTAACTCAGTGTTCAACTTTGAGCGCAGTGCAACAGGAGTGAGTGAGTGAGTGAGTATGGTTTTACGCCGCTTTTAGCAATATTCCAGCAATATCATGGCGGGGTACACCAGAAATGGGCTTCACACATTGTACCCATGTCGGGAATCGAACCCGGGTCTTCTGCGTGACGAGCGAACGATTTAACCAATAGGCTACCCAACCGCCCCCAGTGCAACAGGAACACGACAGTTTGGCATCACAACTGGTCTCACCGCACTATCAACTGACAGATGAACAACAACACTAAAAGTAACAAGTTTACCATTCAGCACATCACTGAACTTTTCAGTAACTTCAATATTGGCAACACGCTCAATATTCTTCTCTTGAACTGTGACTAAGTTCATGAGTGTAACAGTTTTGACACCTAGGAGAGGTGCAAAGTTCTCTTTCACAGCAACAAATTCAACTGAATACTTTTTCTTGTTAGCAGGATTCTGAACAAGAATGCTTAGGCAACCAAGAGGAGTGACGTCAGTCTCATTCCACATCTTCAACTTTTTAGTTGTAGGTTTCAGACTCTTCAACTTGTCCTGGACAATAGAAGACGGCATGATATTAACAGCAGCACCAGGATCAATAGTGAAGACGACATCTCTTCCCTCCACGGTCATTCTACATTTAGCAGGCTTGTCCGTTTTTGAATCTTCATACACAGAATTTATCCAATTTTCATCTGGAAGCTCAACATTGTTGACTTTGCTTTATTGCTTCTAAATGGGACACTTTGGTGCAAAATTATTCAGCTGGTGACACTTCGTGCACTTTTTTCCCCATGCAGGACAACTTTTATGAGCCATGATATGAGAATAACCACAGAATTTACAGTCTCTTTCATGCTGAGATTGGGGTCTCTGACTTCTCGATGGAGAATTCATCTTTTGACTTGAACGAAGAGGCTTCTTTTGCCTTGATCTCAAAGAGTCTATTGCAACTCTATTGATAGGTTCAGGTCTGATCATCTTTGACTGAACTGAGGCATTTTCAGTGGCTTTACAGATGTCGATACATCTTTCTAGAGTGAGGTCCCTCTCTTTGAGCAGTGCTTGCTGAGTGTCGGGATCTCTTACTCCAAGGATGAGTCTATCTCTTATTATTGAAGAGATACAATTCTGACAATAGTTGCAGGTTTTCACAAGAGAACGGATTGATCCTAAGAAATTTTCAAATGTCTCTCCTTCCTTCTATTTTTCTGAGATTGAAGACGTATCTCTCATATATCTCATTAACTTCACCAATAGTAAATACTTCGAATTTGTCTAGAATGTCTTTGACAGTTCTCTCAGCTTCTGGTATTTGAAAATGGAATCCATTGAAAACTTTTAAGGCTTCATCACCAAGTGTGTTTAGGAGCAAAGCTACTTGATATTCCCTTCCATATCCTGGCAGGTTCACAAGTATAGAATAACTGGTCCATTTCTGTTTGAATGTTTTCCAATTTTCAGCAATGTTGGATTCAATAACAAGGGGTGATGGAGGTTTTATACCACTAACAGGCCGTCGAGCTTGAGGAGGATTGTCGGCCATATTTGCAGACTGGAAGCAAGGCTAGACTATCTTCACAGACAATACACACTTGTAGCTAGTTGACATCGACAAATGCAGACAGGAATCTCTCGAGTGTGCAAAATGTCACTTATCAGGTCAAATTAAGCTAATAGATTCAAGTGTTCATTCATTTCAGGGATTGACATCACTGCTGAGACATTTGAATGATAGCAGACGAACGCACGTGGTCTGAAACACTTCGGCTTCCATTATAACATTTCAGACATAAAACTGACAGAAATAGGTCGTGGTATCATAGAGGAGAGAGAAAGTCACCTGCTGCCACCATGTTACGTGCTGTGTATGCTGTACACATGTCTGGATAGCCATAGCCAACTCAGGTTAAAGCATCAACGTTTAATAGAACTTGCATGGCTGACATACACCAAGGGAAGCAACTCTTGTCACAAGAGTGCATACCACGTAACAGTCGTTACAGTATGGTTTTACTAAGTGGACCAGGCAGTGGTAGTTGCTTTGCCCCGCTACCTGTGGCAGGGCAAGGATAGCTGACATAGGCCAGCAGCGTGGTAGTTGCCAAGCAATTGTAGCGTTTAAATATGCTACTGCAGGGGCCGGGCAGCAGAAGCTGCTAATCACCGTTGGCCACGCTAGTTGCCATGGCAACGGCAGATTTTTCCTTTACCTAACCAGCAGCTTTGTAGCCCATGAGTACCTGCACACCTTCGTGAAAATATCTCCTTTCCCCCCATCACTCGATGAGAGAAACATGATATTTCACTCGACACACTTAATCACCCCTTGTAACTAAATCACCCCTGGGTCAGAACCTTGTACCATGCCCAGGGTATCCCGCGCTTGGGGCCACAAGCGTCATCCCTCCTTTGTTCCATCCCTAATCTGTCTTACAGACCCTGATACAAATATATATCAAATACAGCCCATGCAAGTCTATAATGTTTGGCAAGTCTAGATCACTGCAGTATCAGGAAGAGAGTCACTGGGCTCCTTTTTATTATATTTTTATTAAGATAACTGAACAACTGTTTTTTATGTACGATATGTTCATTTCAGAGACTATATGTTAGTCTATTCCATCCCTAAAGTCCACCATTCGCTCACCGTCTCTCTTTTAGTACACACGTGTTTCGCTGTATCTAATCGCATACATCCCCAACCCCCCACCCCCAACCCCCACCCATACACCCTCCCGCCGAGTTTGCCACTTTGAACAGATCGTCTTTACGTATTAAACCTGTACATATGTAAATAAAATGGTTCAACAATGCTTGTATCTATGTAAATAATAGGTTTTCAGGGAGCTTGTATATATGTAAATGACTACCTTTTAAACGATTCTGATATATGTAAATTAACATGCCTTACAAATAGCTGCATATATGTGAATACCTGTCTCAACAATACACGATATCGAGGTGTGCGGGGTGCTTGAGGACTACCCTG